AGCGAGAACCGGAAGCAGTGCCGGTCAGGCTTTCCAATGGAGTGGCAAATGAGCAATGAGAGCATGGTTGTGTGTGAAGGGGTTGCAGAGCAATTCCAACTGCCTCTGACAGGTAGAAGGAATGCATTGGGAAGCTTGTTGGGGCCGCCTAGTTGCACATGGCTGAATGGAACGCACCCGGCGTTGTTGTCTGTGGGGCGACACAATGCAGACGTGCAAGTGGGGTATAGGATGCCGATTTGCCAAAGCCAGCCATGGGCCGCGGTGTGGGAAGGATTGCGTTCAGAGAAGTGACGTCGGGGAGCTGCAGAGAGTAGGGCAAGCTGCGCAGGCAGCGCAGATAGGTTATGCCACAGATCATATCACGAAGAAGCAGGCGAGTTGGTTGCATGTATGAGCGTCGTGAGTTTGAGCAGCCAGGATGGGTGGAGGGCAGTCTGTGGGGCAAGTGAGCCGGCGGCATGCGCAGAGGATAGGGTCACTGTTTTACAGTGTGATGAAAAGTTTCATACTTTTGTTGCCGACTTTTAATTGGTTTGAAACCTGATGACCTGCCAACCTGTACAGTTACAGTAAAACAACAAAAAAAGATAAATCAAAAGTGTTCATCATCGATAAATATTTAGGTTCTGGAATGGGTGGTATAGCACTGAATACTCTTGAAATTGCTGTATCATTACCAATCATTGTTGCATTTCGTTTGAATAAAGCAATAATATCATCTCCCTTGACTAAAGCACAAGGCCTTTGCTCTGCACTTCACTGGTCAACTGTTCACGTTGGCCATCCGAAAGCTCTGATTGGATGATAAAGAACAAAGCTATGAAATTGTTCGTGGATGGGAGCAAGATCATATGTCGGTCCTGACAGATCTTGTGCCACTTGTCCAAAATGTCCTGGATTCCGGCGGTCTATCTGGAGGTGGCCTACCTGCCGCGGTTGCGGTGTTGCATTCAGCCACCCAATGGTTGTGGCATCTTCGCGTTCAAACGCACGGACATCGACTCCTCGAGACGATTGCAAATGCGGGCATGGCTGCCATGGCACTTTGATCGGCGCTTGACCACGGATAGTCCGTAGCATCATCGCCTGACGTGTTCATCACGAGCAGGCTCGGACAACTAATCAAGTGCAGCGTCGCGCGTGAAGCAAGCGGCATCAGTCATGTACATACATAAACGGTGAGACAAGAGACAAGGATTAATCTAAACACAAGATTGCACAAGCAATCTTAACAGGCAACTTTCCACAAGACACGCCTCGCCTCTGCACGTGGCAGAGGGCCGGCGGATTCTACCAAATCAATGCAAAACATTGAAAAACCAATTCCACCCTCCCTGGTCGCATGTCATTAGCCACCTTGGTCGCCCCTGCCTGGCCGCACAGAAACCGCGGGTCCCCCGCTGCGTTTCACGCGGCCGACCGTTTGGTCCAGGACCGACCGTGAGCGGGGGTCACGTCGGAAACGGGTCGGCGCGCGTAGAGCGCCACCTTGGAGGGCGATCCTGGGAGGTCAGTAGACCGGAGCGCCCACGCATGCCCACGCCTCTTTGTGTGTGTGTGTGTTTTTTCGACCTCAGAAGTGGGTATTTTGGTTTAAGGGCCCCGGGCTCAGGGTCCTCATGAGAGTTAACAGTTGAAACCAAGTGGAGAAACAACCGTTTGTTTGTGTACCATGGTGTTGTCTTTGTGTCCTTTCGATCCGCTTTGTTGTATACTCCCCCCACAGACTAGCATAGAAGTCGAAGATAGACCTTTACAAGACTGATCGTGTTCCTTTACAAAACTGATGATTTTGTATATATTGTATTGGTTATTTTGAAGACCTATCTATCATGGGTCTTTTCTCCTTCTGGTCCTTTTTTGCTGCCGAGGCGGCTGCCCAGCGTGTGGCCTTGCAGCAACAGCGCGACCACGTCCGACGACAGCACGCGAGGATGGCCCGGGCACTGGCAGCACAGCTGAGGCGTGATGGAGTGCCAAGCTGGTTTGAGGTGGATGGATGCGGTCTGGAGGGGAACGGGATGGAAGAAGCGCCTATGTTTGGTACATTTGCTCAAGATCCTCACAAAGTGCCTGGCCCTCTAACTGCACCCCAACATATTCCCGGCGATGTGCGGTAACTCTCACACCTTTAGTCTTCGGATGGTTTAGGATATTTGAAGCATGCCGAAACCTATGCCGTCACCCAGATCACCCAAAGACCCAATGCAAACCTCGCCTCGTGGCCGCGCTCTCTCGGCCACGCTTTTGCCGCCCTCGTGGCAGCGCGAGGTCTCCGCGGGCTCTCTTGATGCTCGGTTTGCATTCAAAAGGCGACCTCACCGGGATCGAGGCGACCTCCGTCGAAGGGTTCGCAACTTGTGGAATTCTGAACCAAGACCCCAATGACCTGCATGAGACCAATACTTTAAACACACAAAAAGAGACATCATACCACCCGTGGGGTGCTCGGGGAGGGTCGGATCTGTGGTTTGTTTCTGGTGTTTTCTTCGACCATCGGTGAAATCAGTGGGGGGGCTGGGGCATTTTTGAAAAGCCTCGGCTGGATGAGGCTGGTGGTTTCTCCTCGGGGTTTAGAGCGAAAGCTCTCAAGCACTGTCAAGTTGTTCTATCGGAAAGTAACAGATATATATATAGCCCCCCCCCCCAAAAACCTATGTTTTTGAGTTCATTCTAATAGTGTATTCTTTTTCAATTTAGTTTTAATTTGAATGATATTCTCATTTACTTCTTCTAGAGAAGTGGTGTTACTTTGAACATGAGAGATTCTATGTAGTTTTTCCAATATAGAAAAATGTGCTTTCTTAAATGAATTAAATTCACCACCAGCAACACCCACTCTCTAGAATGACACCAAAACTGAATTAGAAGTCCATGTGCATTGAACTAGAATCAATATAGGATGAAATTAGACATATAGAAACCAAACCTAATTTGCAATGACAATAGTGTAAAATTAGATGTGTAAAACAATTCAATCTGAACCGTATAAAGGCATTAACATTAGAAATTAATTACTAGTAAATTGGAAGAGTCAAAGTTACAATTGAACCCAAAATAGAATGAAATAATAGAACTAAATTAGAAGTACAGTGGACTGGAATTAAATTAGAGTTGAAAGAAACACATTGAATATTAATCCATTACTTAAATTGAAATTGACTTAGAACTAAGGTAGAATTGAATTAGAGTTGTTTTACCTAGAGCTTGGTTAGTAGAACAGTATTGACTTAGAACTAAATTGGAATCTAAGTTCAGTTAGAATTGAACTAGATCTAATTTGCAATCTCAATTTGATTTCAATTATATAAAGTTCAAGTAGGATCATTTTCTATTTAAATTAGAAGCACGTTGCAGATTCAAATTTAGATTTAAGATTGAATTCCATTATATAGATCTAAAATAGCCAAACATAATTAGAATTAAAATAGAAATGAGTAAATTAGAATAAAAACTGAATTAGAATTTGTCTATACAATGAAGTTAAGCTAAACAGACTTAAATTAGAGTTCAATTAGGCTCAGCTTAGGCTTAAAGTAGAACTATGTTACATACTCAAATTAAAGTAGAACTATGTTACATACTCAAATTAGAATCCATTTAAAGTTCAGTTAGACTTCAATTAGACTCAACTTGGAAATTTAAATAGAAATACAAGTGATTTTAAATTGGAATAAGAATTGACTTAGAATTTAGTCAAAATTGTATGTGCACTAAAATTCAGAGAAGTAAATTAGAGTTGAATTAGTTGTTAATTAGAATTGAATGAGGAACAAATGTCGGTAAAAGTAATATTCCAGGATCAAACTGTACTTAGTGCAATTTTGTCACTACCAGAGAATGCCAGAGAATGCATTCCTGCCCAATACCAAGACCAAGACCAAGATTTGCACAGAAGTCTTGTGGAAAATCTTGGAAATACCAAGACCAAGATCCAAGATTTGGAAAATCTTGGAAATACCAAGACCAAGACCAAGATTTGCACAGAAGTCTTGTGGAAAATCTTGGAAATACCAAGACCAAGATCCAAGATTTGGAAACTCTTGGAAATACCAAGACCAAGACCAAGATTTACACAGAAGTCTTGTGAAAAATCTTGGAATTGGATCTTGGTCTTGGTATTTCCAAGATTTTCCACAGGACTTCTGTGCAAATCTTGGTCTTGGTATTTCCAAGATTTTCCAAATCTTGGATCTTGGTCTTGGTATTTCCAAGATTTTTCACAAGACTTCTGTGCAAATCTTGGTCTTGGTCTTGGTATTTCCAAGATTTTCCAAATCTTGGATCTTGGTCTTGCTATTTCCAAGATTTTCCACAAGACTTCTGTGCAAATCTTGGTCTTGGTCTTGGTATTGGGCAGGAATGCATTCTCTGGCATTCTCTCATTCTGACTGCATTCCTTCCAAAGTGAACAAACAAGTCATGCAACCTACGTGCACAAATATAAATATATATATATATACAAATATAGATGGTACCCCCCAAAAAAACAAGGATCAAAAGGCAACCCAAAATAGACACAAAATATTGCAAATACCAGCAAAAGTGATGTGAGCATAGGTTTTTTTTTGGGGGGGGGGTACCATATATATATATGATATATGGTGTGTTCTTTGAATGCCCCAGCAACTTCTTTCACCTCCACTTCCAAAACTTTTCCAGTTCTTTCAGTGAGCTACCCCATTCCAATGTTTGCATCATGACATCGATCGTTTGGGTCTGTCCTACTACCTACAACTGTCGGCAAAGAATTATCACGCACTATATACTTTCAATTGTGGAGAAAGGCCTGCAACATCCTGCAACCAGGCCCCATCATCATCCACTGTTACAGTGATATCCAGATAGATGATAATGTGATACAGGTACATCTATCCACTGTGATAGATGATAAGTGATCATCATCCACTGTTACATCTATTTGTCACAGGTCGGATAGATCCAATCCATCGTGATATCCAGATAGATGTGTGACCATCGTGCAGTGCTCCATCCTCAGCCATCGAGCTTGAAGACCAGGGCACCCCCCCGGACGCGGCAGCATTTCGGGCACGTTCCCGGGGTGGTCCGCGCGGAACCCGGGTGGCGGCGGTGGGGCGTTCCGTGTCCCTCATGGCGTTCTCTCTAAAGATGGCACCTGGGATCGCAAGCAGGGCGGGTCGGAACTGGCGTTGGGGTGGGCGTGCCAGCATTGCACGTGCGTGTTGGGTGCGGACCAAGCGTCACTTGGCACGTGTGTGCTTTTTTGTTCGGTGGATTTCGCAACATGTTGCCCTTGGATGACGGTAACTAGTAAGTACATGGGAATCGTCTGGGCAAAAAAAAAAAAGTAAACCAATTTGGAGTTGACTGGGGAAATTCGAGAGTTGACGGGAGTTTCTTGCGGTTTGACACTGCACACTCTGGACGGTTTGCTCGTCTGCGGTGTCATGGGTCCGACCTTCGACCCGACTGACCAAAGCCGTCGCGCTCGCCTTCGACGTGCTCTCCCACGTGAACCAGCGAAGCGCGATACGAAATCGTGAGAGACGACCTGAAGAGCAAACCCAAAAGCCAAAGAGTCAGACAACACGGGCTCCAGACAACACGGTGCCCGTGGAGAACGTCCGCGAATCGAAGATCCACCCTCTGTCAGAAACGGTCAGAAAACGGTCCTGGATTTCCCGCGGCTCCGAAACCCACCCGCCTCCACCCGCCTCCACCGTTTCCCACCACCTCTCGAGCGAAATCGCCGTTCCATGCGGACGGCATCCGCACCACGGCATCCCTGCTGTCCCCTCCCCCTTTCCTCCGGGTCCTCCGTGTTCGGCGAGGCTACGCGGTGGTTGAGGCTGCACCGGTCGTGTAACCTGCGTGGTGTCTTCCGCCTAGGCCCTCAAAGGGGTTCAGGAGGCGGCCTCTCTGTCGGAGCACGCCTTGCGTTGCACCATTGCCGCCTTGGACCACAGCGACGCCAAAGCGGAAGACATCGAGGACGTGGTCGGTTGGTGTTTTACACGGGCACGGTGAACAGACCGTGCGGAGGGGGTGTGGTCTTTTTTCAAGAAAAGCAGCAGTTTCAGGTGTTTGATGTTTCTGGCTGCTTGGTTGGTGGTTTCCAAGTCCATTTCACGCAAAGGTTGAGATGATCAATGCTCATGTCTCAGATTTTCCGGTGGGTTCATGTCAATTCTTCCGGTGGTTGTTTTTGGGAGGTCTCCCCATTTTACTACACGCGCATATCACTGTTAAACCTGTTGATGTTGCGTTCAACCATGAAGTAACTCATTCGCATTCATTGCAGAAACGCTTCTGAAGAGCAAAGTGTTTGTTTGGGTCACAGGCTGAGTGGTTGGGTGTCAGAGTATCAATACAGGTGTTCATAGGTGTCCCCAAAGCAGTTTTGCCCTCATGCTGCTTGCAAGAACCATCCAATGGATGCGTGTGTTCTCCCTGCCCTGGCTCTACAGATCCTCAAAATTGCTGCTTCGCGGGCTTGAAGTCATGGGAGGCAGGGCCCCAGGATCAAAACAGTCCTTTTATATCACCAGAGGTGATTCATATCACCAGTTCAAGACCTGATCCGCTACTCGTAGCATGTTGCCTCTGAAGAAAACACGTGTCGGTCGTCCATCACAGGACGTGCCGGTGGTCGGGGATCATCGTTGACCGAAGAAGCAATCAACGAAGGTCAACGACTGCGCTTTTTTGATCCTGGGTTTCTTGAGATGCGCAAAAAAGGGGCCTTTGAACTTGGCCTTATCCCTTCGACAGGGTCTTTGATGTTTCACATATGTTCACTCAAAGAACGAAGTCCTTTCTTCATAGTTAGGTGAAAACCGTCCTCGGCGCAGGAATGCCTTCTGAAGTTCAACCGCTTGCTCAGCAGCCCTCCCAGCACGAAGGCTTTCGTGTCGGACGTCCGTGTCGCTGGCTTTTTCGAGGATTGGAGGGTCCGGGAGGCATGGCACAAATGGATGGTTTAGGGGATTTTGTATGACAACCATCCAGTGCAAAAATTAACCACTCTAGACGGATAGGATTGAACTATAAATGAATGCTAATCCACTATGTTGTAAAATCCACCGATGGTACAAATGTTGTATAAATATACCAGATCCACCTGCACAACCGCTGTGTGACATCAGCAAGGGACAGGCGCATGCTCGCTCGCAACGTCCGTGCATCAGTACGTATAAGTACGAAAAGAAGGGAGTGTACAAGGGTTCTTTCCACCAGGTTTTGACTGTGGCTCATATCATTTAGCTACATAGTAACTGAACGAGCCTTCGGTTCGTCTCATCCAGGAGTGTTCAGATTCCGTTTGGGATGTAGAAGTTTCAACCCTTGACCCCCCCCAAAAAAAAATACATCTGACCTCCGAGAATTCTCACACGCCGCCGCCCCCAAATGCGAAGGCGAAGTCGCGCCGAACTCGCGCCGTTCGCGCAGGTGGTGGAAATGGTGTCCTCCTCCAACTTCCCCAGCAGCATCGTGCGGGTGATCCGACGCCATCAGGAGAGTGGACACCAACCAACGCCAACGACGACCAACGGTCGGACGAAGGGTCGACCGAACGGTCGACGTGGAGTCGAAGGGTGAAGAGCGGAGCGGAAGGATCGAGCTCTTGCCATGTTGGTGAAGGGTGCATGCCACGGTGGCCACGTGATGCCAGGCTGCCATGTTCACTGCAAGCACGGTGTTCTTGGACTCCTTGACACAGGAATTTGTTGATAAAGCACAGAATAGAGCGGTGTTTTTTCCCCTGAGCCAAGGCGCATCTTTTTCAGCAGACAGGTTGCATTATTTTGGTGGGCATGTTTACCAAAAAGTATACATGATCTAATTTTCTGGAAAAGGTCCCGCATGTTGCTCAATATGCCGCCTTTTTGCCGAAGAAAAGTCTGTGGATGTCATTTCACGTGGTGCATGCCAAGCCAGAATGCATCAACTTCTCAGAAGCAACCCCCATCATTTTTTGGCTCCGTGACCTCTCTCATGAACCCAACAAATATTCCCTCCCTGTTGAACTACCTTAAGAGCAACACAACCACAAGCCACTCCACTCTCCCTTAGCATGAACTACAGTTGCCGGTGCCGTTTTGGTGAACTACAGCATGTCCCCCCACTGTATCATCCACTGGCGAAGAAGCCACCGAACTGCCTTGCCATTCGTCCTCTCTCGAAACCGCAGATGGTCCGACTTGCCGTCGCACCGCTTCTCGCAGGAGAACCTCCCCATCGTCGCGCTGGCATGCCAGTGCATCGCTGGCTCCGCGACCACGTCCGACTCCGTTACCAGCTTCGCACGCGCAGGCGGGGAGAGCGGGGAGAGCTTGGAGAGTTGTTGGAGTGGTGAGGACAGGGCGAGGCGATAGGCAGGGGGGGTATTTGTTCCAGTTGAAATGTCAAAAGAGAAGGTTGCAATTAAAGGATCTTCAATATAGATTAATCTGTAGATGATTGCAGATGTGGACTGGCTGTTTCGTGATGCTGGTTCCCAAAGCACGCCAAGCACTGAAGATGGTCGTCTAACTTAGCCCATTTCAGACCTCTTCCGGCACAGACGGCTCGTGAGCCGCCCCTCAGGCTCCTGTGGTTCTGCTCCTGTGGGACATGGCAGACATCCCAAGTTCATGGCAGACTTCCCAAGTGTTTGTTCAGTTTTGGATCTCTTTGTGACAAATGTTGGTTCCGGGTGTGGGGGTTGCCACAGGAAGAGGCCAACACCAGGAAGAGGCAAGTACAACTGCCCAGGCGTGCTCGATGAGGTTTTGAATGTCATGGACAGCCACAAATCGCATGGAGGCGCTGGTACAAGCCGTGAGTCATCCGGATAGTATACCGTATACTACTTGTAGTCCGTATACTATATCGAGTAAGAACCAATCCGAACTGGAAGAAAACGCATGAAGCGGAACATGAACATTGAAGAGACTGCTGGGGCATGACCAAACGTTGAAGTGTGTTTGTCCAATGGTGAAACTGGATGCGTATTCCCTGTTCTCATGCTATCTAGAAATTATGGTCTTGGTAAGGGAGTAGTTGGATCCCTATGAACATAGCACGAACTATGAACCATGAACCATGCATTATATTCATAGTTTGCATCATAATATGAATTATATGAAGCATATTATGAATCCACGTCACGAAAGCCTTCTTGTTCGTTATTCGATCAGGGGATCCTGAAGACACGGCTGTGTTTTGAGAACCAGAATTGGAGCCTGTTAGAGCATGTTGCCTTCCTAAAGCGTGTTTTTGGCTTCATGTGAACTAGTTTTGCCTGATGGAAAGTTCAAAGAACATCTGCAGGAACCTCCTCGTTTTGGAGGTGAAAAAAACCATCCATTGAAAGTTGGGCACTAGGAAGAGATGGAAGCAAATCAGAAGGTACCTCTCCTACACTCCAATGCCCTAGCGGGCCCTCTCGTCGACATCTTAGGTTTAGGAGATGCACGAGCAGAGCGTTGCAGGGTCCCTCCCTCCTTTCGGAAGAGGATGACACGGCTCCTGGAAAGACCATGAAATCCTCTACCAAGTACGGGGTGTTCATCCAGGTAAGCATGATTCATTGGACAGATGAGTTGTGGGCGATATATGGTGTGGTTACAACGAATTGATGGTTTCCTGGATTGACGAATCGATGGACCGCATCGTCTCCCCAACCGCATCGCTTTCTTCACCGATGCTCGGGGCTCCGATTTTCCAAGAAGAAGGTGGTCCTCAGTGGTTCCTCGGTCAACCCATCAGAGCGCCCGTTTGCGGTGGACTCGGACGGGCGCGCTGGGTTCGCATTCTGCGGTGGAAAAGGTGTGCAAAACGTGGCCCTCTTCTTGCTGCGCACCCTCCTGAAGGCGTTGAAACGAGTGGGCGAGGTAGTGTGTGTCGCCCCCAAAAAAGGGGCGCCAGATGCTAAGAGGTTTGTGTCCCAACCCGGCGGGGTTTCTCTGTAGCGATGTCCTCTCTTGATGAACATCGACTGCGGCGGAGGGGCGGTCGTCTGAACATGTCCCTAAACCTCCTGGCACCCACCCCAACCACCGAAACGGAGGCCAGGAGCCCGAGTTTCGGGAGTATGTAAAAGCTGAAAATTGTTTTTTTCCCGGGGTTCTCCGGCCATCTCATCAACTTGTTGTCAACGTTTGGTTCTTTGCCATTGGCTTTACCAATGTTTGGTTGAACAGCCAGCGGTGCGATGCTCGGCTGTTCGACCGATGCTCAAGAGTGATGCATGGCACCAAAACAGCAGCAATCAGCCTGTGCTTCGCTCCAAAAGACTGGAAAGTCGCACTCAAGACACAAGGGTAGTTGTTTTGGTACTCACCCTTGGAGTAGACCACGGTTCACCCTGCCTGCAGACAACCGTTGAAGCACACTTTGATACACCTCGTCACCAGATCGGCAGATCCAACGAGCCAGTAAGCAATATTGATGAACGTGCCCTACCACATATAACCCGCATATATGAATAGAATTCGATATACCCAAGTGGACGAAGATGATTACACCAGCTTCAATGTTTTGGGAGCTCCTTCCTGACACCGGCCACCCGTTCTGTCACAACACCTATACCACTTGCTTGCCTGGGCGACCGTTCCGCTTTGCGGCACAACACGCTTGACCGCTCCACCAGATTCCGCTCCGTTCCACGTCCCACGGACAGCGGTGCGGCCAGGACAGCGGTGCGGCACGCCAGGCGGTGCAAAACGGCGCCATTGCGCGCGTCCTCCATGCGCTGAATCTCTCCATGGGCCGTGAAATCCAGCGACTCCACAGTGACGAACGAGTGTGGGGTTCCGGGTGACGAGTATTTGGTTCAGGGGAGCGGCAGTCGAGCTTGAGGAAGGAGTTCCATGGAATTCCCAAAGGTTCGGTGAAGAAGAATTCAAACTTGCAAAAGGAGATCCCATTTTGGGCAGAGCTTGGGCAAGTGACGAAGGGGTGAATAACTATGAGAAGAATCCTGTTTTTGTAGCTTTTCCAGGGAGGGGGGACTAAAAGCTGTGTTTAGGACTTCTGCTGTTTGAAGGGTACCAGAACAGTTTTTGTTGACTGGTGGATGTTGCATCCTTCCTCACCACCAAGATGAAACCTATTTAGAGCTCCTGGCAAGTATTCTGTGGGACACTCTTGTGGGGCGCTCTTGGGGGACTCTTGTAAGACACTCTTGCAGGACGGGACACTCTTGTAGAAAACTTTTGTGGGACGCCTCCACACCTCAAAACCACCACAAGTACTGCCTGCCACGAAAAGTGACGACATGACATCTTCACGTCTTCAGCAGAATTTGCACCACACCACACGTTTGGAATGAGTTCGACGCGTTCTGACCACACACCCATGCACCAAAATCGCCACTTTAGCTGAGACTTAGTCGAAGCAACAGCCTGAAACGCAAATCCCAATGTCACAGCCACATCCAACACCCCAAAAACACCGCCCTCCAAACGCCAATCCCAATGTGACTGCGCAGAAAACTGCGGATCTCACAAAACGCTGTGGCCGCGCAGTGAATTCATCCTCCACACTTCATCCTCTCACGTTTCCACACGCTTCCTCGCAATTTCACACGAGTCTGACACGTCATGCTTCCATCCAAAGCCCTCTCCAAAAGCTTCGCCCAAGGTGAGCGCCATACCGCGAACGGTTGCGGACGGTTGCGAACGCTCAGGCAACGAGGAGGGAGGAAGGAAGGAAGGAAGGATGGAAGGATGGAAGGAATGGATGGAATATTCCGGTCCCATGGATTGTTGGGTTTATTGAGTTGATTTGTTCCACTCCACACTCTCTAGACCCTGGCTTGGCCATGGCACGGGGGTAGCCAGACCTTTGAGTAGGTCATTTTCACAAACCAAAAAAGATTTTCTATAGAGCTGGCGGGATGGGGTTTGTGTGTCTCTTGCGCGCTGTGATTTTCTTAAACTTGTTTATCACAGAGTGGTTCTTCGAAGACATACTCGTACGAACCCACGATAAGTAAGCAGATGGAACAGGTTTGCACCTGACATTTTGGGGCACTTCAGATGGGGGGCTGAGGGTTTGTATCTTGCAAAAGGCCTTTGAGCTACAATTCCATCATCGGAGGAAACTGCCACGGGTACGGCCGCAGCAACATTGATCGAGGCCCCCCTGCGGCATCAAACATGCTGCTCAATCCGTGGTCGCATGTTCCCAGGTCTAATCACAAACTTCTCACCCATGGATCCCTGCATCAAGTCCCGTTTGGCGGAACGAATGACATCGACGGCAGCCATGGCAATGACACGACTGCAGCAACATTGGTCGAGGCCCAGGTGCGGCCCCTGAGGGCTCCGGCGTGCTGCTGGGTCCGCGGTCCCGTTCCTTCCAGGGCTTCTTTTGCGGGTCGGCGCGCTTTTTCGGCATCTGATAGTTCTCGTTGTGGGCTGGCCATGTGGGCTAACTGGGGACTGTATTTCAGGAAGAGGGTGAAGTGGTGGGCAGGCGGATTTTTCTTGGGGAGTGGAGGTTATTTTAGGTCGAGTTGAACGAGTTGGTTGGATCTAAGCTTGCGGTGCTTCTCAATGGGCCGGCCGGCTTGCATGTGTTGGGATTGAGAGTCCTTTTCAAGGGGAATGTGTTGGACCATCCAAGAAACAATTTGATATACAGTATATACATATATAAGTTTAAACTTTGTTTTTTTGCACCGGCGTTCGGTTGGGGGGTGCAGTTTTGATTGATGGATACATTGGGTTCTATGATACTAGGACTCAGGTTCTATGGATACACTGGCGCAGGCACAAGACTCCAACTAGGATCCAGGGAGAAAAACTTGCATGTGCTGCATGTGCTTGAAAGGAACATGTTCCAATTGCCCGAGCATGCAGTCATTGAATTTGGTGGCAGTTGGCGGAGTACATACGACTCCTCATGTTACTATCGCTCTAGTCATCCCAATGCCCTGGCAAGAGCATCCGTGAGGCACAGCAACGTGGTGAAGGTGCGATACACGAAAAGTGGCGCGCCCAGCGCACCGGCAAAATCCCATCATAAGGGACCGGTGTTAGCTGGGAGGGATTGGGAGAAATACGTCTTAAGTGTATGTACCTGTCATTAGGGTTTGCCCCGCTAGTTAGTCGCTCAGGCTCGTGTTCGGCTCGTGTTCACGAAAGGATTGTTCGGGATGGGGCCAACCCTAATGACAGGCACATGCACTTAGGGGCAGGGAATCTGGCCACACCTATGCCAGCTTTTGTTCAAAAAAAGCTGAACCGTGTTCTGACTATAAGTCAGGCTTACCATGGGTTTCCAATGTGCCCCCCCTGGCCACACCTAGATGGCATATTCAGCTTTTCTTCAAAGAACGCTGAACCATGTTCTGACTATAAGTCAGGCTCTCCATGGGTGTCCAATGTGCCCCCGCCCTGGCCATACCTAGATGGCATACGCGATGAGCTCTTGTGGTTTAGGCCACTTCCATGCCATCTACCCCGCACAACAGACATGTGAAACATGTAGATGGCATACACTAGCGATGGCGGACTCCACCTACTAGCGATGGCCTCCAACCTACTGGCGATGGCCGAAAAAAGCAGCAGAATTGGGGATTATCACATGTGGTAACGTTGACATGTTTGGATCAGAAGAGTTTATCTATAAAGGGTGTGAAGCAAGGATGGGTCGAAACCGTCGAGCCCGAGTTCCACCAACACCAGGTCACCGTGGCCGAGGTCGCCACCGTGGCTGAGGCACCACACA